TTTTGTGATATCTAGGAGAAAAAATCTCGTTAAGAGCAAACATTAAATATTTACGCAGAGATAAGAATATGGCACGTACATAAATAATGTATATATGTGTGCGCAATATTTATAAAGATTTTAGTGTGGTGTGTATAATATATACATACATACATACATACATACATACATACATACATACATACATATGTTGTTGATGAGAAAGTGCAAATAAAGACTAATCAAAATTTCGCACATATAAGTACATATATACACACAAGCTTATATACAAGTATGTATGTATGTATGTTTTGCTAGCAGACTGTTCAAGTGTGTGTAAATAATTCAATACATCAAATAAATTGGAAATGAAATGAAAATTTATGTTGTCGCCAATGAGTGGCAAACATTATTGAAGCAACGACAGGCATATATATTCATACATACACGTACATGCACACATACACATACTTAAGAATATCTATATAATTTTTAGCAGCAAAAGCTGCGCTAATAAGAAGTGAACAAATAATGAACAAATACTTTGGCAAAAATTTTCTACCAAAAATTTGCTCTTTTTGTCTTATTTTGGCTTAATATCCTGTAGAGGCAAACTTACCTTGCTAAGCCACAAATGAAAACGTTTACGAGGGGGAGCCAATATATATTTACTCTTCATTTACCTTATATTTTCAGTTAATCAGCATACACTTTTCAAATTGGTTAATTAATACATTTTTTTTTTAATAAAATATTTCTCGCCGAAAAAAGAGCCAAGACTCTGGAACTCTTTGTTTTTCGCAAAGATTCCATATCCACAAATTTTTATTTTTATTTGGAAACTGATATGAAGCTCCAGACAAAAACATCAAAACTTCATTTTGAGGGCAAGTGAACCAGCAATTCGTAACCATTTCTGAATTTTGTGGCTACCCTTCAAATGTTAGAGTATCCCAATAGATATATTTACATAGAACTAAAACATTTGGAGCTTCTCTCGTATACTCATATGTATGTTGTTGCTATCTGTAGTCATAGCATCCATAAATACATACTCGTACACCTCAATTTTCCACCATAGCTCCTAATGTTCATCATCTGCTCGAATTTTCGTTCGCTTAATTGGAAAATTGTTATTTTCTTTCATTAGTGTTATCTTCTCTTATGTGGTGACATATTATATTATTGTATTTGGTTTCGGTATCGTTGTCGGGCATATTTTTGTTTTCACACTAACGGTGAAACAATTTTATTGATTGATTAGTCATTGATGTAGTGTGTTTTCATTGATTAGAGAAAACTTTGTGGTTTTTAGGCCACATAAATAACTACATATATTATTAATGTATGTATGTATAGCTTAATATTGTTCATTTGATTTTAAGTATATATTTATATCAAAGATGACTCGTCCATTTTGGAAAGTTGTAGCAATATCATCTCAATGAAAAAATTCAAGCGTTTTTTTTCCTTATCGAATGATTGGCAGTCAGAGATGTCCAACTATATACGAATAATACCAATCTCTTGTCGATTTACATTTATAACTAAATATCGCTATTATTTTCATTATGATATGCAGCTGTCGAACTCTTCCTCTTTTTTTGGCCGTCAAAACTATTCTCGGACTTTTGGAATTCACTTCGCTGTAAAAATTTTCATATTCGAGCTCTTCCAGTTCCAGTGTACACCTTTCTTTAGAACTATGGAAACCAGTTTTTCATCTAGTTGGGAGCGTTTACCTTGAGATCTGTCACTACAAGCCAGTCGTATATTAGTTAAGAAATTGGCTCCTTCTTCTTATCATTTTTACAACTTCTGGAAGCTGTACTGTAGAAAACCTTCTTTATTTCATCCTAAGAGCCAAGCAGCGCAGCAATCTTAGAAATATTATTTTCGCCATTGTGTGTTTTAATTGTAAGCGTATCCATGCGAACCACAATTGGGAGGAGCATTATGATGAAATTTTCAACTATATTCCACTTCTCATTCAAATTTATTCCACTTCTGATTCAAGTATATACCACTTCTGAATTTCATAACTTACAGATTGGCTTTGCCACCTTCGCATTACGTTCCGCCCGGAGTTTGAGTTCTAGTTGGACCAATATCCAAAATTATAGTAAAATAATTTTTCTAATATCGATCAGCTCTTGGCAAGAAATGTCAAGACCTCGGATTGCATTTCTGACGAGAAATAAAAGCTTCTTATAAAAATCCATAGGCCGTTCGGATGAGGCTGGATCCCTCCATACGCATACCACGAAAGGCATTTCTGTACATATTCCTAAAATTATTTTATTAAAGCAAGTGGAAGTTTTAGACCAACAACCAAATATGAAGAAAGTCTACATACATACATACATACACCTTCATTATATACGTACCCATTCAGATTACTAAAATCGATATAATCCCCTTGAATTAACACCCAGTGCATACAATAATTAAATCGTTTAATCTGATAATGAAAGCAATCTGCGTAAAAATGCAACAGGAAACTCTAGGAATATGAGTAATTGCAAAAAGTGATAACAACAACAACAAAACAAAATTGTAAGTAAATTAAAAAGATTAAAATGGACACATAACAAAAGAGTCACACCAGCGAAAAATGCTTTCAGCGCAATAAATAATAGGAAGCGAATCTGGTCAAAGCAAAAAAGAAAAAATCAATCAAAAGTATAAACGTTACTTTGTGCGTAGCTTTATTGAATACTACTAAGCGACGCGCAAAGAAGCTCACACATGGACACAACAACCACATAATATCATGTCCTGCAAGCCATTGAACCTGAATACTAGCAACCAACCTGCTGTGCGGCAATTTAGTGGGTGTCATTATCCGGCTATTCTTTTTCGCCTCAGCTTGTTTGCTTGTGGCTTTGTTTATGCCACATATGGCAGCATTTGACAGCAGAACTCTAGGGGTGTTGAAAGTATCGCTTACTGAGGCAATATGTCAATTTTCAAAAATGCGCCACCGCATAAAGCGCGAAAGTCGGTAGGCACATACAAGTGTTGCTGTTGCAGGGTGGTTGGTTGGTTGGTTCATAAATAACAGGTTAGTGGGTGTTGTAGGTTTGAACGTTTTTTTTCTTCTTTGTTTGCTACTAAGTTTTCGGTATTGAATTAATACGACAAATTGCCGTATGAAAAGGTCAACGTGTAGAACAAGTGCAGGAGCTAATAATCAGCATGCCGACGGGACACCGTACAGTGGTGGTTGAATCACGTCGTTTATCCCTTAAGCTTAGCGCATCAATCAAATTTATTGTGAGCTTAACGTAACTTTAAATGAAAATGTTTTAAAATGTGGTATATTAAGTGCTGACAGCTTAATTTTTAATAATGGAAATAGTGGCTGTACAGATTTTTTGAAGACCGCTTTTGTGTGAAATATCGTTCACAGCAGGCTTCTGATGAATTTCACCACTAAATATGGATGTTTATACCACTTCTGATTTTTATGACTAAAATTGTATCATTTGTCTTAGCCTTTAGTTACACAACTCATGCTGCATTGCTGATCTAAAACGTATCTTTTTGGAAATAAAATTTAGAACTTAAGGGAAGCGTCTACAAAGGTCAATACCGTTCATAAACCAGCTGTTAAAATGTTCCTTTAAAAATTTCGAAATTTCAATTGTGTACATATATATTTTTTCGCCTTATTCCTACTTATATATTTAAGTGTTGCATTCCCTTCATTTTTATCATTTTAATACAAAATTTGTTTATTACTTTATTACGCTAACTAATACAAGTCTTCAATGCTGAAAGTGTATGTAACACTCTTGCCAATAAAATACCTACTTTCCACATTACAACTGCACGCTCAATACTTGTATGTTGTTGCCCTACACCCCGTTTAAAGTAATTAAGTATACATGTTAAGAAAATTTTTTTAAACACTTCTCTTTCGCATGCGCAAAAGTATTTTAAGTACACTTAACTACTTCAAACTCCATGCATGATGAAATCAAAACGATCCATGCGAAGGTGATCTTAAAATAAACCGTTTTGTACGCACATACATGTAGATATCATGTAGAAGTGCAATTACTAATAGATATCGATATGAATTTGAACATAAAAAATATAAAATCTGTAAGTTAAGCTACTAGGCTAATGGATCAAATTAGCCATTTGATCATTTTTAAATCAATAACAATATCCAAACACATTCAGAGATTTGTTCGGCAGTTAAATCCAAAACTATTCATAAAATAGAAAATGGCACAAAGAAGTATGTGAGCTCTAGAAAAAGACGCTCAACTAAATCCAAAGAACTGAGGAAACTGATTTACTTAAGATTAAAGGTTATTTCTGAATTTTTGAACTAAGTATTCCACTTCTGATTTTTTTTTCTTGCACATTGTAAATTTTTAGCACTTACATATACATGCAAATCATAAGTATGTATATCCTTAGCTGTGATTTTCTGAAAGTTAATACCTAGTTCACGAAACAATGACTTACGATTAACTCTAACAGTTTTCTTCCGGGAAAATCCGGTAATGGTGCCTTGGTCAATCTTTCGGCAAATTTCTGAAAGTAAAAGTTAATACAAATATATTCTCAAATTTGTATACATATTATATGTATATACACATAAAAATTGGATTTTAATGGGATTTTGACACCAAACATAATCGAAGATATATGGTTAATTAATTAAGTTCAACTAACTTTGATTAATTGAAAAATTGTGCTACAAAGGCAAGCGTGTTAATGTTTGCACACAAATATATTGTTTATAAATATCTATACACACGTACATACATTTGTTATGAGTTTCGACGCGCCAAGAGAAAAGTGCAAACAACTCAAGCATGGCGGCCGCAGAGATCACATAAGAAAGCATCATATTGTAAACCAATCTTTTAGTTTCTATTTATTTGCGCAAATAATTTTTTTATTGCACTTTTTAAACTATTATTTTTATGACTTTTAATGAATTGCATCGAAGAAAACAAAATGTGTTTGTTCGCACCGTTGAATAACAAAAACATGTCAGCGAGTTTGAAAACGCACACTTTTACACATATGTTTGTTGAAACACGCCAACTAATGTGTTGCAGAAATCATGAAGCTAGAGCATCAAAGCATCCATTCAATTTTGCTGAAGCTGTTCAAACTGAAGAACTAGTCAGAGAAATAGCTACTTTCTTGTTGTAATTAAAAGCGCCGATGATTAGTGTTTTGATGAGGGCGATCTGAAAACGTGTTCACTTGCAATGTATGTGCAGATTTCGAACACTACTAAATAGCATGGTTGCACGCCAACTCTTTACGAACCACTGCTCAATGGCTAAGACACATATCAAAATACAAAAACGCAATTTATAAAAGGTAGAAGCGTGCAGAAAGTAGACTGCAGTTGCATTTAGAATTTGGTGTTGAACTGAACCAGAGCTGAGCTAGACTGCCGAAACTGCCAACAAGGATTAGCAAGAATTAGCTAAGTTGCTCGCGATCTGCTAAAAAGGATATTATAAAGAATTAAAACGATTTTAAAGTATCACGCACACTGTAAATACGCACACAGTATGCGTCTCAGTAGCACAATTGAGTGGCTGTTCATTGCTATCATGATCAGTTTAATACTCAATACAACTACAGCACGACATCACACGCAACACCACCGCCACCGCGCGCACCAACACACTCAGCAACACCAGCAACGTCAACCGCAATCGAAGCAAAACACACAATTTGCACGACGTCAAGGTCGAGCCGCCACTGCTGCCACCACCACCAGTTGGTTTGGTCCAGAATTTATGATAGCACGTCGCGTCTACGAAGATTGTCAGGAGAAAAATGATTTTATCGGTTGTCTCAAACAGAAGGCTCTACATGCGTTGGCACGCGCACTTGAACAGGACTCCATAAAAATTGTGGACGGTCTAGTTTTGGAGAAGCAAAATATTACCGAAAAGGAGAGTATCATCAGTTCTATGACAGATGCACGTACGTTAAACTCCCTAAGCGCCATCGATCGTGCGCTGCTAGCGAAAATTGATAAACTAACACGTACACATGCCCTAAAAATGGATATGAGTCAAGGGCGTGGACATCATGGCGATGATGATGACGACGATGGTGGGCATAAAAAAAAGAAGGATAAGGGTGGCGGTCATATCAAATATGTAATTGCTGCACTGCTCACTGCCATGGGTATTGCCGGACCTATTGGTTTGAAAGCATTAGCGGCGATAGCAACAAAGGCTTTGGTGATTAGTAAAGTGGCGCTAACGATTGCTGGCATTATAGCGCTGAAGAAATTATTTTCGCACGATCATCAGGAAGAATCTAGTTTTCAAGTACATGCGGGTGAACACAATCGGTGAGTGTGAAATTTTACACATTTTAAATAATGTTTAAACTTTGTTTCATTACAAAAAAAAAAAAAATTTATTACAAACAGACGCAGCACATACGTAATACGGCCGGTAAATAAATCCAATCAGCCAACAGCTGCCGGTGGTGTTAGTCAATATTCGGACCCATACCGTTACTACTATGAATATCATTAATTGTTATTGAACTCATACTTTATTTAATTGTAAAATTTCTTATATAATCAATTTTTAATTATAAGATTTTATTCGAAGAAAACACAAGCAGCTAAAACACCAAAGAATTTTTTTTTTAATTTTTAGCAAATTTTGCTCTCGCCTAATACACAAAAGCTACGTAATGTTCAATTATCGCATATTGTTGGAGTTTGATAATTTTAGTTTCATTGGACTACGTATTATACTTCTGAGAAAAGGTTTTTTCTTAGAAGAAAAACAACACGTCGCATTCAATTATCTATATTTCGCCAATATTCGTTAATAGCGATTTCTCTGGTTTGCATTTTAATTCTGCCAATATAAAGTATATTTATAACTATAATCTCGGCACGCTTTGAATTAATAAGTGAAATCGCAATATTTTTCCGATAGAAATTAATTAAAGTCTAAGGGATGACTTGCAATTTACAGACACTAAATTCTACACTTCCATTTCCGTTTAGCATATACGCCTTTACTCGTTAGAACAAACACTCGTTGAGTAAACGGATACGTACACAGAGATGTAATGCGTTAGGAAATATTTAGGGTTAGGTAGAAAAAAAAAAATATGGCACTAATATTAAAAATTATTCTAATTCTTTTCCAATATTTTGTTCTTTTTTTATACTTTACCTTTGCACTGTGAAAAATTTAGTGGTTGCTGTAGAAATGTATGTAAAATGAAATGAGATTTTTTTTACAAAATTTTCCTGTTAGTAATTTCCGGTGTATATATAACTGAAATGCCACGCTAAAGCATAGAATACCCATGAAATACCAACAACATCTGAAACAATTGCTTATTGTAATGATTATAAACATTAAGGCTCAAACATTAATCAAATTATATTAATACAAATAAATTAATAGCTACAAATTAGGAAAATAAAACTGTTATGTATGTATTATCACTACATCTGGACTAAAAAATATATTATTATTAAAAATAAAAATTAATTTCACTTTTACATCAGAAGTAGGAATCAACAAAATCTGATTACTCTTTAACAAAAAATGTTCAAGTCAGAAAATTTTTTGCAGTTTCGAATTACTTCTAAAGGTCCGATTTATTTGACCACTACACTTGCTCCTAGGGACATGAGAATATATATCGTACATACAATTTTCATACATCCTTTTTCCTTGGTAATCAATTGTTGCTCCACTATACTCACCTTTTGTATTTTCAAAATAATATGAACCTCAAATACAACTCTGTTTCCGTCTTCATACTTTGTCATTAGTTTCCGTTAATTTTTCACGGCGAGTAATCTAGCCGTTAACCAACAGTTAGCAGAATTGTTGAATTCGTGGTAAAAATTGTGTGTAGCAAAGAAATTAGTCAATTATTTAACATATTTGAAGCAGCTGATCTGAGAATGTGCATCAAGTTAATGTGGTAGTGTGAAGAACTACATATTTTGTGTGTAAAATGTTAAAAGAAAAGTTATTTTCATATTAAGCCGATTAACAGGATTTTACTAAAAACATTGTTTGCGATTTTGCAATTACTACATACGTACAATACGCCGTGAAGTATTTGCCGAAAGGAACTTTACCTATGTAAGTTTTATACCATTTTGTGGAAGTTTCTAAATACGCAATATAATGTGAAAAAATCGCTTAAAAATCTTTAATCGACTAGTAGAGCTATTCATGACTCCTATAAACGTTCTTGTTGGGCTGGCTCGCCACGATCTTTTATAATGCATTTCCAAATTCAGAGCTGGTACTTTGTAAGTGTATGCTTAGCTCAGGTCTAATATTTGTTTTGTAAGTTCTTCTTCGAATTATTTAAAAATAAAAACAAAACAAACATTTTGATTCATTTAAACATAATCAGTTTAATGATTTCTCATATTCATTTTATACAAAATTAATGCTTTTAACTTTAAGTAAAATAGCTTAAAATGTACTACCTTCAACAATGCCTTTTTAATTTTAGTTTACTCCTTTTAAACTTTTTACATACATATAGAAGTTCGCATTACAAGTTTTTTAATTTTTTTTTTAAGACTATTTGCTTTGTTCACTTTGTACATATAATACGCTCATTTGTAGTTGCCAATGAAAGATATTTGAAAAGAAACAAAACAATACTCGAAAGCGATTATATCTTATGTCAGGGGAGAGAATATTAAGAAAAAGCTGTAATAACATATGTATATATATATGCAAGAAATGAGTTCAATATTGCTCTAACACAATACAAATTTAACACAATAAGTATTTTTTAAGAATTTTAATTACATATGTATAAAATTGGCTTTATACAGCAATTTCAATTAATTTGAATTTCTAATGTGAATAATAAACTTAAACGTAAGCTATTTCAATTTACTAGTAAATTATTTTAAGCAGGACCAGCTGTGTAGCAATGCCCATTTTAATCTGCCAAAACTGAAAAATAATGATTATTTTTTTGTAAGCTTAATTAACGATCTACAATAAATTCAACTTATGTGTGTCAAAGTATTAGTTCTCAAAACACTATTTCTTTTAATATAACTAATATATAGGCAAATTATTTAACTCTTTGAATTGAAAAAGTAATAATCATCATCTTCGACCGCCACACATTCTACACTATCGCCGTTGCCGCTACCACCAACCACACCAGCCTCACTGATCGCCGCATTCTCCAGACTTCATCCGGTTACCTCTTCGCTTGCAAAATCCAATTTGACCACATCAGCTGGCAGACATTCCTCTTCATGCTCCTGGGTATTGATGCGATTCAACGTCATCATTACATCTGGACCCGATTTCAAAGCTATAGAAGTGGTTGTTTGTGGCGATGTTGTCGTTACTGCCACGCCACTTCCTACTGCCTGCACTACGCCCGTAGCTGGCACCATAACTGTCGTCGGCGTAACAGCGGTCACAGCACCAGCACTGCTGGCCACAACTAACGCTTGCTGTGTCGCTGTTTGTTGCTGTTGCTGTGACTGTTGCAACGGCTGTTGTTTAACGGACTGCACTACCTGCGTCATTACTGAAGGTTGTGTGGCCGGCTGTAATACCACATTCTCGGTCACTGTCGCCATTGTAGACGCCGCCGAAGCGGCTAACAATGCCTTTTGTTGCATTTGTTGAAACTGCTGCAACGTCACTGTGGTCGTTTGTGGTTGTTGTATGATTTGTGTAGCGGCGCTGGTTTGTTGTATGATAATTTGTTTTGGTGATGTTTGCAACGATTGCGGTACAGAGAGTGTTGGTTGCGTATGCTGTTGCTGGTGAGACACCTGTGTTGCTTGCACCGGCAGTATACGTTGCACGTGCTGTATGTGAACTGTTTGCGGTGTGTTTGACTGCGTCTGGTGTACTTGTGCTTGATGATGATGTTGATGCGGCTGTTGCTGTTGTGGTGAAGTCTGCTGCTGTTGTTGTTGTTGTTGTTGTGTTATAACATTTACATTTTGGTGCTGCTGCTGTTGTAATGTATTTAATTGTATTGTTTGTTGCTTAACAACATGTGTCTGTTGTGTGGGCACTTGTTGCACTGTTTGTATGACATGTTGCACTTGTTGTACAGGCACCTGCTTCGCCGGTATGCCTGCATCTTCGAATGCCTTCTTTTTAAGCGCCTGGCGTATTTGAGAACTAACGAAGGAAGGAAAAGAAATTTTAAATTTTTTTAGTTTTTTGCTTTGAATGCATATGTGTGTCCTCTCGCTACATCCTTAACAATGCAGAGAGCACTAGTAAAAGGATTTATGAATTTTGCTTTAATTCAAACTTACACTGTTCGGTTTTTAATGCTTAAACTTATTTTATTCAGATCATCTGAGAAACGAATTATGGATGAATGTAACATGTTTATCTCCTCATCGGTCCATTTGCTGCACGTAACCAGGAATATGTGAAGTCCAGGAATACGAAAAATTCGATTTCATTATTGTAAAAGCAGATGGACATGGAATATAGCGAGAGAACAAAGTAAAAATTAGAAAACTATTACCGCGCAAAAATTATAAAATAATTTAAACTATTTATGTGTATGTCAATAAATTGTAAAAACTTGTGTTTCACTTAAAAGTGAGCTAGTTAACCGATGCACTACTTAATCTTCAATTTACATAATTGATGAGCTATTTTAAAAATTAGCTTTCTGAGAGATTTCCAACAGATCGCCTTCTTCATATAATTTAATAAATACAAAATTTCATATTTTCGTATTTTATAGCAAAAATTTCATTCTATGTAGGTACGTACACATTTAAAGAAACTTTTGTGATATAGAAACACCTATTTGGGTTTATAAACTTGTACTCGTAAAATTATGTATAAATATTTTACATAAATTACCAAAGGGCTGTTAATGATTCGTACTAATTTGTTTTCAGTAAAAACCAAATTTTTTAAACTGTTGTACTCTTATATTAACAAAATGCAAAAATTCACAAAATTCATACTTCATCACTACATTTATCATTTGTATTTGCATACATTTACAAAAGCACGACCAAATCTGTGATACACTTTAGCTTTCACACTCGAACATAGACAAAAACAAATATTAATAATATTTTTCTGCAAGAAATTATAGTATTTTACTTACCCCGATGGCGATTCCGAATTCGGATGTAATTGCATTGTTAAATCACCCAATCGACTAAACGCTTGTCCAGCAGCCGTAAATATTTCGCCAACCTGTAAGTAATTAAACCAATTTTAATACTCCAAACAATATAACCGACCCATCAACGGATCCCCAGCGTTGAGGTGCGGCGTCGAGGGACATTTGTTTAGAAGCACACTTCAAAACAAAAACCGAAATAAATATTGTCCGTCCACGAAAACATCTCTGCACACCCCGGCACGAATGAATCTACTTAGCTACTCAATGAGCAAAATACGCGCGCTGAAAGCCAACAAAAAAGGAAGCTATACCGATAATTAGTGGTACAAAATTAATAGACGCCACAAATTTTCCACACATAGCCGATTCATAACGCTGGAAATAAACGCACAATTATAAAATTTACTCACTTTCGTTGCCGAATTCATGGCGTATCCTTAACTTTATTCCTATGTATAATTTGTGAAAACAAAAAAAAGTCCGCTTAAAAATTTTTTTATGCTATAGTGCTGTCAAAATTTTGCATAGCCAAATGTCAAATGCGAGGGAGTCACGTAAGCTATTCAGCTAAATTCTGCACGGCGACATCTGTTGCTTTGAACTAAGCAACAGTGTAGAACATGAAAATTGGTTAGAAGATTTAATTATTTGTGTAATTTATAAAATATATGTTGACGATGTGTATATATCAATTATTATTAACGATAAATTTTTTTTATTTCGTTTGATATGTATATGAATCATATATTGAAGTAAATCCTTTTTTTTCTTGTAAAGCCATGCGCCTATAGTGCGGCCAAGTTTGAAGCAACCTTCAGTGGACAATGTTGCCATTGCACATAAGTGAAAATAAACCGACTAAAAATTTGATGGATTATTTGTGCTGCTTTTGTAATAAGAGTAAATAAAGCAAGTCTCGATTGAAATACTGTGAAATTCACTGGAAAGTAATTTTTTTAGTTAAGTGCCTTTGGAAACCATACACTTCCAGACACAATAACACCCACCCAGTTAGCCCCGTTAAATAGAAAATCCAATTTTTTATTTTATTTTTTAGCAACAATTTTATTGAATTCTGCATCCATTACTGCTAATAAGTGAATACTTCCATTTATTATTATTTTGTTAGCTCTTATCTTTACAATAATCATACTGTTGCGAAAATGCAAGGCGAATGTCAGATGAAAGAGAGAAGCCGATAACACAAGAACCTTCCATAGCGAAAAATTCGATGCTTCTACGCTTTCGTCTGCGAGCAGCCGACTGCTATATAAAGGCGACACTCAGCTGCAAGTCAGGCAGTGACAAAGCAGATTGGTTGGCGTTAACATCAGTGAAGACGTAAAGTGAACGCGTTGGGAATTACATTTAAGTAGAGGAAATTGTGAAAGTTGATGTTAGTGATTATAAATAGTAAAGTGCAGTATAATTGAATTGTGAATTACGGAGTAAATAAAGGACATTAGATAAAATCTTTATTACGAAAGAAACTGCAAATGAAGTTGGCGAGTTTTATTTAACAATCCAGAGATCGTACCCGAAGGATTTAGGAAATCATCGAGGTTGATTTAGTAAAATCGTAACAATACATTATTCTGTTTTTACCCTTCAACGCCGTTTGTTTTGGTTGAAAGTATGTATACCATAATTTCACAATATTTTTTTTTTTATTCATACTGAAAACTTGGTGTGTGACATTTTTAAAATACATAACTCATAAGTGTAACTTTTTAAAATTTACCGGCAAACATTTCTTGTTTACAAAGGTTTTCAAATAATAATAGAAAAAATTTGTTAGCGAAATAGTTAATTTTGTTTGTTTAATAGTCGCTTGAAATTTTGTTTATAAAATTAATTTCAAAATTATTTTAGTACCAATAAGCTTAAATTAAATACTCTATGAGCTATTAATGATTTTTTAATGCATAGATTTTGTATTAATTTAATAGTTTGCTTTACAAAATATTTTTTTAAATATGAAAAGTATGCTCATTATTAAAGCATAGCTGTTGTTTTTTGTTTAATGTAAATACAAATGTTTTAATAGAAATGTAAATTTAAGTACTTATGAACGAGCCGCATACAGCAGATGGGCCTTGAGTGTTTAATATTTGTATAATTTTATAATTTATTTCAGACTTTAATGTTCAAATAAAGTGCACTACGAAATAAAAAAAAATTTCATACAAATGTTATTAATAAAAGCTGAAAAGTTTTGAATATTTCTTTAATTTAATTCTTATTGTTATTTTTAGTATTTAAAGTTTTCATTTTATTAATAGCAAAAAAAATGTAATTAATCTGTCATTAAAAAAAATATTTGACCCTTTTTTAAGTAAGTTATAATTATTGCACATTTCATTTTATACCTTTCAAGCCTTCGATAATTTTTTCATTTCTCTCTTTTGACGCCTTTAAGCGCCATTTATTTTGCGCTTTTTTCATACATATATCCATATTTACATGCCTTTAAGTGTTTTATGTCTATATGTTGTTGCTAATAATGGTTTAATTTATTTATAAATAAATTTTTAATTACGTAATATAATTGATAATTTATTTAACGTACTTTTACATATTTTCTTCTCGTATTTTCCTTTAGATAATGCAATCACAGTTTTTTTTTAATAATTCGCTTTCTATTTTTTTTATTTAACTATTTATTTGTGTATGTTTGTATGTGTTTATTTACCATTATTTAATTGTGTATTTTTTTAAAGTTGTTTTAAAATTATTTTCAAAATAAATTATGCGAATTTGAAGAAAAAATATTTAATTTATCGTCTCAACTTAAAGTAAATATTGTAAATATTCCTTTCTTTTAATATTTAATTATTATTTGCATGCAAATCGGCACACACTTATTATGCCCGTCCACTTTTAATAATTTCTCTTCTCCTTTCAGCTGATTATTTTTACTTTTCTCTGACTTTTTTCTTTTCGTTCTATTTTTTTTTTTCTGAATTCTTAATTATATAAATCTCCAATAAGCCATTATTACATTGTCTGGATACATGCATATGTTTATGTCTGTTTCGTAACTTCGCTTTCTCGCTTTTAAGTTTGCTTCGTTTTTCCTCGATTTCTTAATTCTTTTCTTTCTGTTTTTCTGCTCTAGCTTCTGAATGTGTTCATTTTCATTTAGTATATCGGTTTTCCCTTCTTAAAGTGTTCTCGCTTATACTCTTTTTTTAATAACTATTACGTATTTCATGACTGGTATTCCATTACCAGAAACTGTAGAATGAAAGGAAAAATATATGATTTTTTTTTACAAAAATTAGGTAATGAATATTTTTAGGCGCGTTCCGTACACACCAACGTTTCTCATCGACGTTTGCTTCAATTATTTTTAGTAGTATTGCACGCGAATCCAATAAATTTTTATGAGCTGTATTTTGTATTTTTAATAATTTTTTTCTGATACTTTTTACAGTAATAAGCTTAAACTGTTTTTATGTTTAATTCCTGAGTAGTTTTCGTATGCTTATTTTTTTTTTACTTTTTCGTTTATTGACTATTGAAAATCCTCTGATTTTGCTTATATTTCTATGTGTATGGGTGTTATTTATAAGTGTTGGTAGTCAAAATAGTTTTTTTGGTGGAAAATACTCAAAAATTGTTCTTAAAAATTTATAGTTGCCTATTTTCTACTGTATAAGGTTTAAAGTTCAACGTAATCATTAAAATCATTCAAATGTTAGATAAATATTTTTTATTGAAAACTTATAAATGTTTATTAGATTTTAAAATAATTTTTATTTTTTTTTTTGTTAGAAATTTAAAAACCATTTTTTCATTAAAATTTTAAATTTAAAACTTTTTTATTTTCATGAAAAAAAAATTGCTGTTCTTTAATTGAAACAAAAAAATATTTTTCTTTGACGAAAAAATTTTTTTTTAACTAAAAAAAATTCTTTGACGAAAAAAAATATTTAGGACTCGAATATTTTATCGGTTTCGGTATGAAATTTAAAAAAAACATGAGCGGCAATTTACATACATACAAGTATTTTTCTATTTATTAATTTATACAGTTTCACTGATTTATGTAATTCTAATTTCATTTTATTTATTTTTTTTTACACTGTAAATGCAATACACGTTCGTGAGTCTCTTCGTATGCCCTGAGTTGTAGTTTTTACGCTTTTATATTATACTAATATTATGTTTGAAATGAAAGCATGTATGTATGTATGTATGTATGTATGTGGATGTTTATGCATATTTTACAAGATGGCTGCTTTTGAAAACAGAAACTTTTCATATATTAAATTTATGTTTTCAAATTATGTATGAAAAAATAATTAAATACGAAAAAATTTTTCTCACACTGTGCTATTTTTTTTTTTTTTTTTTTTTAAATCAACTTATTAATTCGCTGCAGTTCAGAACATTCATTTCACGGCATTTTAAATAATTTTTCGGTTCAGCTATGTGTAACTCAAGTGTAGTATTGTTTTTGAATAAAAAAATTTTAAATAAATGAAAAATAATGACACAAAAAAATTCTTGAAAAACGTTTTTAAAATATAATAATCAATCTCAAAAAAAGTGGAAGAAACCCCGATTATTTTGTTTTTATTTTCATATTTATTACATTACAAAAATTGAAAATTCGAAAAAAGTAGAGGAAAAACTGATGCATTTTTTTTATTAGAAAAAACTAGTCGCCACTTAGAAAATTAAAATATCATTTTAAAAATAATTATAATTTCAACTTAGTTTAGTTTTCCTTTTACCTAATCTTAATTTACTCAAAATGTCACACTAATGCCACACTGTTTCGTAATAACTTTAAAAAAATTTCCATTATGTTATGTTTACTTTAAGCCGAAAAAATTTGTACAATTATTAATATTAATAATTTTTTCTTAAATACGCTTACGCAAAAATTTTACTTATTTTGTAATTATCTTAATTTCTTTTACACCGCTATTTGTTTAATTTTTTTCATAATTGTTTTTTTTTTTTTTTGCTTGCTGTTAGCAATATTACCTGAAATTTTGTACTAGTCATATTCCAAAAAGTTTTTGTGTTTTCAATTCTTCTCCTCCTTTTCTATCTTTGTAGCGGATTTCTTTGAATTAACTGCCTTTCCTTAAACAATCTCTTAAATCTTTTTCAAATTTTTTTTTACCGTGTGACCTTAGCGCTTAACTGAAAATTTTCACTCCTTATGAACCCTCACATCTTTACCCAGAGAATCGTGCATACAAGAACTGATACTATTATTTTCTTTTTGTTTTTCAGAAAAATTCAAATGCCGTTGCTTATTAGTTTATTTTGTACTATTTTTTTTTTAATTATAATAATGCTTAAATTGTGTTGTCTCTTATTTTATTTTATTTTATTTTTCAAAACTATTTACTTAATTTTTTACCACTTGACTTACACACACTGAGTTTTACTGATTTATTCATTTATTATTATTTTTATAATTAAAATAATTTTAAAACTTTTAGTTTTTTTTTCCTTTTTTCATTTGATTTTAATTCTAGTACGACATTTGGCGTACCTTCACTGTTCTGAACTGTTTTATCCAAAATTTTTAGTTAATTTTTTCCATATACACAGAATATTTAATTTTACTTTATTTAATATATTTATAGTAGAAAATTCTTATTTTTCTTTGTAAATATGCGTGTATTTATGTACAAGTGTGCCT